TTGTGCCGTTTTGGGGCTCTCTTGGACTGCCTGGGAGCCCTTCGGATGGTTGTGGGGCGATTTGGGAGCCCCCCAGGCGGCTTCGAACGCCCAGAAGACCGCCGTCTTGGAGCGTCGGGAAGCCGAAAAGAGGAGAATCCCCAAATTCACTCAAAACCAACAGAAAATCAATGATTTTTGCCTCGGGGGGCCTTCTTGGGAGTGCTCTTGGAAGCCTCTTTGGGGCCGTCCTGGAGGCCTCTTGGGCCATCTTGAGGTCACGTTGGTCACTCTTGGAGCGCTCTTGTGCTGTCTTGGGGGTCTCTGGGACGTCTCCGATGACCCCCCTGATCGCCCTAGGTGTGCTGGGAAGGCTTGGCAAAACGCCATGCGGGTCACGGGGTCCGCTTCGAGGCCCGTCTGGAGGTTCCCAAAGCCCCAAATCCAGGGAGTCCGGTTTTGGGGGGGGACGGGTTTTCCCCCCGCCCGGGCTTGTAGAAATATAGGAAGAGGAATATATATATATATATATATATAGATACATAGATCCATAGATACTTACATACATACATACATACATACATACATACATACATACATACATACATACATACATACATACATACATACATGCATGCATGCATGCATGCATGCATGCATACATACATACATACATACATATATGCATAGATACATACATACATGCATACATACCGACAGACATACATACATACATACATACATACATACATACATACATACGTACATTCACACACGCATACATACATATACATATACACATATACACATGTACATATACATATACATATACATATACGCATACACATACATATACATATACATATACATATATATATATGAATATATATATTCATACACATATACCTATATCTATACCTATACCTATACCTATATCTGTACCTATACCTATACCTATACCTATACCTATACATATACATATACATATACATATATATATATATGTGTACACAACTCCGTGTATGCATCTGCATAAACACATATACACATACACCTATATGTATATGTGTGGCTATACTGGCTCAAAAGATTCGAGGCATGCCGGTAAAGTTTCTGATGGTTCTTCTTGCCGGAGGTGTGGTCGTTGACACGCGAAAGATTCAACGTCCTTTTGATGTTGGTGCCCTTGACAATGGCGACGGCTTTCTTGTTGATGTATGTGTTTCCCAGTTGAATCAAATATGTCCCAGTCAGTCCCCCCGATCGAAGAGAGCGATACATTGTCTGGGCTCTCAAACGCCTGCATCCACTCCACGGGACGTGTGGCTCAACACCAGCGGCACGACAACGTTGAATGATTCCGTCGCAATGGCCAAGAACTCTGGGAAACTAAGACAGCCATTGCCACAAGTCCGACTGCGACAACACAAAGTCCGACTTCGACTAGAAAACAAAAATGCCGAAAAATGTGTTGAATGACGGTCATTACAACTACTCGGAAGACACCGCGACGGAACGGTCGTTGCTCTGTACTTGGGACAACACCATGAGAAAGATGAGTGCGAAAATATGAATGTCTCGCACCAGGTTTTTGCGTAAACCGTGGATGACGTCCCCGAAGCTATTCTGGCGTTCTGGAGTGCCCCCTGCAAGGAAAAGTCCAGTGGCAACTCATGGGAGCTTCCCATATCATCTTGTCTGCTCTTGCGAATCGGCGCTCATTGACGCTAAATCGACGCTAATTGACGCTCAATCGACGCTAATCCACGCTAAATCGGCGCTATCTCATCGACTCCAGACGCTGATCGACGCGAATAAACGCTAAAGACTGCATTAAGAGGGTATACCAGGCTCCCATGATTTGCTACCGAAGAAAAGGGCGTCCCTTGGTCCTGCAGTGCAGGCGATAGCCCCGCTTTGACAAGGAGCTGCCATCCGTCCATGCTCGCGAACGGCGACGAGGTCGGATCATACAGCCCAAGAGCCCGCATGTGAAGAAGAACTGCCCTCAATCCTTCCGCGCAACACCCCAGAATATGCTTATATATATATATACATACATACATACATACATACATACATACATACATATATACCTTAAAAAACGCAAGGCGCCTCAAGCGACAAGGAGCCGAGCCGCACTCCATCCGTGCAGTTGCGTGCACAGCTAAGGATTCTTGGTGATAGTGGCGGAACTCTCCAACGCATAAAAACCGACCGACTAGACCCCGCTCGCAGGCCCCCGCCCTGCGGCAGCTGGCAATGGCCTCGCTTACAGGGCGCCTGCACCTACGCACGATCGCCAAAATTGCACAACGCTGGCACATAGAATCCATTCTTGTGGGGGCTGGGGTCGGTTTCCCACTGTTCGTTTAGAATTAATGTGCTTCCGTCCGTGAAACTGTTGGACATGCCTAAACCGAGTGCACGGCGCTAAGACGGAAACGTCATGTTGAGAACGACCCTCTCCGTCTGTGTAACAGTTGGAAGCTCTTCAGACGAATGCGCGCGGAACGAAGGAGAGATGCACATGTCACAAAAGAACCACCTCACACCCGTGCAACTGTCAAAAATTTAAACGAATTCTCGCGGCGCTGAGACGAGAGCCGCATTTGAAAGGACCCCCACCATGCGTGAAACTGTTTGGAGCTTTTGAAGACGATCAGAATGCTCGCGACGCCAAGTGCGAGAACCACGTCTTGAAAACAGCCCCGATTACATGCGCGTATAGGGTCGAAGATTTGAACACGAATGTGCGCTGTTCTGGGGCGAGAACCACAATTTGCAAACGGCCCCATGTCTGTCCGTGTAACTCCTTGACATTGAAGACGACTGTACACGGCGCGGGAGCGAGAACCACATTTTGAAAACAACCTCCCATTCACACGGGCAGCTGTTTGAAGAATGCGTGAAAACGAATGTGCGCGCCGCTACGGCGAGACCGCATCTTGACAATGCCCCGCCTCCATTCGTGTAACTGCTGAGCGCTTTGGCCAAGATTATGCACGGCGCTGGGGCGAAAACCATATTTTCAAAACGACCCCTGTCCATCCATGTAACGGTGTGGATCATCAAGACGTGCCCCTGCAACTCCTGGAAAATTGCCATCTTCGGGGCCACAAGCGGTGAGGGAAATATAGGCGAAACGCCTGGCCCACTCTACCGACGCGTCCGGTGGTCAGACGCGGAGTTACCTATCAGGAAAAAGGGCTCAGGAGGAGAACGAGGACTCCAGTGCTTGCGCAGGCCTGCCCGCAACCTAAAGGCCTTGAGGGGGAGTCTCTTGGGGCCGTCTTGGGTCGTCTCGGGGCTCTCCTGGGCGCCCGGACATGGACCTGCCATCGCTCGAACGTCTATTCCCTGTGCTTTTCTCGGCTTCATGCGTGTTTTTTGGTTGCTCGATGGTTCAGGATGCTCCTCGATTCGGTCCTCGATGGTCCCCGCCGAAAAACACGCACACGTCCGAGCGATGCCAAGTGGATGTGGTGATCCTGCCCGAGGTGTCCCAGGAGCTCGTGTCCCTCCGCATGCCCGGCCATGGACCTCGAGAGCCAAAGGCCATGGCTACCCAGAATTGGGCCCCGAGCGGTCGCCTGGACGTGACCCGTCCCGGTGCCCTCCAGAGCTGGGCGCCGCGTCTGCCCGTGGCCCTCGCGCGGGACTTCCTCGCCACCTCTTCCTCAAGAACGCCGCGCCCTCGACGCTCGGAGATCGCGCTCTCGCCTCGGCGTTTCTCGCGGCTCCCTCCGGGAATCGCGCGCTCGCGCGAGGCCTCCTCGCGATCCAGCACGACGCTCACGCGTGCCACGTGCTGCGTGCGCTCTCGCTCCGTGGCCCGGGCCGGCCCGAAGGGTGGCCAGGCGGCCCCCCCGAGCCACCCCCTGCCAAGGCGCCAAGCAGGCTGCACCCGACGGCGACGCTCCGGGGAGGCCCCCTCCATAGGAGCAGACGTGAAGCACACGGGGTGGGAGCCACTCCTGTGGCCTCCTGAGGCCTCCTGCTCCTGGGGCCTCCTTGGGCCTCCTGGTACCCTCCAGGGCCTCCTGGTGCCTCCTGGCGCTTCCCGTGGCCTCCTGGGGCCTCCTGTGGGCTCCTGTGGCCTCCTGGAGCATTTTGCCTGGAGCCTCCTGAGGCCTCCTGGAGCTTCCTGCCATGCGAGCCGGGGGACTGGCGTGTTCTGCTCCCCCTCCGTCAGGCAGGGCGCTGGCGCAGAAGGAGACCCGAGGCAAGGCCCGCGGTGCTCTGTGAAGCCTCGCGCCAGACAGCATAGGCGTCCGCCTCCGAGCTGTGCCCGACCGACCCCGTTGTCACCTGCCCCCCCTCGCTCCTTCCCTCCCTCGTCGCCATAGTTGTCGTCGTCGCCATAGTTGTCGTCGTCGTCGTCGTCGTCGTCGTCGTCGTCGTCGTCTTTCTCGACATTCCCACGCCAATGCGGCCAGCAGCACACCTTAGACGACCCGCTGACCATTTAGCCGTTCAGCCAATGCACCTGTGACGTGCACAATATTATTGTCATTAGCCCCTGAGCCTTCCTCATAAAATTGACGGAGTTCTTGCACTTGCGATTACAAGTTATCATACATAATGTGATTGTTCTTCATTGTATGGCTGTTATTTGTATGATGGTGCTTGTTTCCTTTCCTGTACCAGGCAGCAAGCACGTCTGTCGAGACATTCTCCCCTCGCCTTCCTGCAGGGGCCGACGCCTTCACAGAGAGTCCCATGCTGCGTTGTCTTCTTGATAGTATGTATATTGTTATTGTTATGGTCATGGTTAATATCATTCGTAGTACTACTGTTATGAAAAATCGTTTCACTAATATCATTGATAGTAGTAGCCGTACTATTCTAATACTATTATTCGTCCTCCCCCCGACCTCCCTCTGTCCCTCCTTCCCCCTTCCTAACTCGGAATGCGCGGGCCTGCTCGGAATCCCACCCCCGACCCCCAGCCGTCACTGCCCCGCGCATGGGATAATCGGAAAGGCACAAACAAATCTGCAAGGACGTGTTCCAATATATGTGTTTTATCGATCTACCTCGCAAGCTTGGTCTGCTATCCGTAAGTCGGGGGGGAGGGCGTCACCTCTCCACGAAAGCAAAGTATGCTTGCACAGAATCAGAAATGTCGATTCCCTCGTCGATGGTTAACTCAGAAAACAACTCGTCTAACGAATTGGATGGCATACCAATCCCGTCCGCTCAGTCGAACGCGGATGGCACGCTAAGCACCGGAATCTGCAGATCAACTCCAAGATCACCAGGTAGAAAACTAAAAAAAACGTAGTCGTACAAATCACGCTGTAAAGAATCCACTTCGCACAATCGCGCGAGGATAGCGTGTTGAGTACTGGCATCCGCAGATCCATTCCAAGAGTGACAGACCACTCGTTCAGAAAAAAACTGGACAAACAAATTGCGGTAAAAGATTATCCTCGCATTCGCGCAAAGGATAGCACTCCACTCTAGGCCCTGGCAACTGCAGAGCCCATCCAAGAGTGACAGACAACTCGTTCAAGAAAACCTGGTCCAACAAGTTATGTGGTAACATACCCTACCTGCGCGAGGATGGCCGGCTCAGCGCCTGCACCCGCAGCGTCACTGCAAGAGCACAACCATGAACCCACAGGGCACGCCGAGGAGCACCGACGCCCAGAGGATCCACAGGAAGCAGCGCCAGACGGAGCTGCCGCGGCCCTTCCCGGCGCCCGTGGCCAGCAGGCCCAAGGCGGCGAGGCCGGCGACTGCGACGCACACGCAGGCCGCCACCATCCACGTCGTCCGGAGGGCCAGCCAGTTGAGCGGACGCGCGGGCGCGGCCTCCTCGTCGCTGGCACGCGCCTCCGCGGGGTAGGCCTCGGGCAGGAGGCCCCGAGCCGCGAGCCGGTCGAAGAGCTCGTAGTCCTCGCGGTACCAGTGCCGCAGGTTTGCGCGGGCGCACTCGCCCAGGTGGCGGAAGCCGTCGTACTGGGCCGGGGTGCTGTGGTACTGGGAGATGTTGGCATCGGGCTCCTGAGCCAAGCTGTTCCGCGATGCCAGCATGTCGACCAGGCGCTCGTAGTCCTCCTGCATGTGCTCAAAGCGGCCGACAAAAGCGTTCGAGCCCACGCAGTTTTCGAAATTCTCGAGGCCACCCCAATAGTTGGTCAAACTCCACATGACGTGCTGGATGCTGTTCATCGCTTCGCGGGCTGAAGCGCGTCGTTGGGCAGAGCTTGAAGACAAGGCGCAGCCGAGCTCATCGGGCGAGCGGAAACGATAGAAGGCCTTTAGTTCCCCGAAAGACCAAATGTTGAAGTGCTGCCTGCCACCCATCCGGAATCTCGAGATCCACCCCGAGACATATCTCTGGATGGGCGCCCTGACGAAATAGACGTAACCGTGGTTGGCGTGGTCCGCGCACGTGTGCAGCTCCTCGCGCGACGCCGCGTGGCTCCTGAGCTGGACATCCGAAGCCAGCGCCGGTCCGAGGCTCTTGTACACGCTCGTGCCCCCCGTCTTGCCGACGTGCAGGACGAAGATCTCCTTCGAGTCTCCTCCGTCCCCGCGGAGGCCACTGGCGTTGCGCTCGGCGGCACGACCCCGCAGCAGGGCGCCTCCCGCAGCCGCGCGCACGGCTCGAGGGCGCTCACGGGCCGCCAGCTGCCGGAAGCCCACCGCCAGCTGCCGGAAGCTCACCGGCTGCAGGCTGTCCTCCTCGGGGCAGCCCGCGTGCCCGTCGAGCGCGAGGCGGCCCGCGCCGCAGCAGCCCTCGGCCTCCCCTGCGGCCTCCTGCGGGCACCCGCCACACCGGGGTCCCGCGCCGGCGCCGCCCTCGAGCGGCCGAGCAGCCAACACCACGGCGAGGATGATCCAGGGAGGCGCCGGGCGGAGCCCCGAGCTCACGGCCATCGCAGCTGCCGCAGCAGCCTCGGTGGGCACGCCGCAGGAGAGCCGCGCGGGCCTCCGAGCATGCGCAGTCAAAACCGACAGCAAGGATGCGAGGCAAGGACGCAAAGCCCCTGGGAAGCCCCTGCCGAAGCTTTCTTTCGAGCGGGGCTGGCCATCGAGAGTGGTCAGGGGTGGGCCCAGGAGGCAAGGAGGCAAGGGCCCCCGTCCCCAGACATCCGGCCGCTCCAACTTTTTCGATGCACGGGGCACCGGAGGCCTGGACCACTTCTCCGGGGCCGCTTTTTCGTCCCGAGCCGTCTTTTGACGCTCCCGAGGCCGGGCGAGGGCCCCCGAGGTCGCAAACGGTCAAGATCCTGCCGCTCCAAATTTTTGCTGGAGCGTCGAATCGTTGGGTCGGGAAGCCGCTCATCCTCACGATCGGTTTCGACTGCACGGCCATACAGGCATCGGGAGAAGTCGAATCGGCTGCAGTCGGCAGAGCAGTAAGGCCTCACTGAGAAATCGGAGCCCAAATCGGAATCTGAAGCCGAATCGACTTGGACTCGGAATGCGTCGAAACCACATCGAATCGAACCAGAGTTGTCGAAACCAGCCCTGCTACTACAGTCAACCCGTAGAGTAAGGATGCGCGATAAGGACGCGAGGCCCTTGGAAGCCCACTTCGAAGTTCTCGAGCGGGGCGCGACCAACGAAAGTGGCCAAGGATGCACCGAGGAGGCAAGGATGCAAAGGTACCCTGAGGGAAGGTTGCCCATCCTTTTTACTATGCGGGTTGACTGCATCGGTTTCGACTGTACGGTTCGACTGCTTCTCTCCTGCGGCTCCGGCGGGTGGGGGCTACGCGGGCATGGCGCCCGCGGCGGGGCTCTCTGCGGGCAGGGCGCCGGGAGCCGGCCTCCTCGGGCGTGCCCGAGCCCCGAGCCTGCGGCGGCCACGCGCGCGGGCACACCGAGGGCAGCGATGCAGGGGGGGGGGGAATGGTCAAGTCGGGCGCGTCCCCCCCCCCTACAGGGGGAGCTTGCGCGAAGAATTCAAAAATACCCGAACATGGTCCAAAAATGCTTCAAAGATTGTCAAAAAATAGTCCCCTTACTATTCTTTTGACTATTCTTGACTACCCCTCCCGTAGAGGGACAGGCCCGACTTAGGGGGGGGGGAGGGCGAGGTGGGAGGAAGGGAGGAGGGGCGAGGGCAGGGCGAGGAAGGGACGGGGGCTGCTACAAGGTGCCCCCGGCCCAAGGGGGCCCCCAGCTTCTCGCTCCACCTGGGAGCCCCGGGGGCCCTCTTGGGCCTCGTGACGGGTGCTCCGGAGGCCGCGGGGGCCTCCCTGGAGGAAGGGAGGAAAGAAGGGGGGGGGGGGGCGAGGCGGGAGGAAGGGAGGAGGAGTAGAAGAAGACACAAGGAGGAAAGAAGGAAGGGGGGGGGGCGAGGCGGGAGGAAGGGAGGAGGAGCAGAGGAAGAAGCAAAAACGGCATATACACACACACACACACAAACGTTCGGCGCTCCGCGCGGATCTCTTGGATCCGCGCTGGACCCCCCTCTCGGAGGCCGGGCGCGGATTCAAGACATCCGCGCGGAGCTCCGAAAGCTTATGCTTCTGGCGTTTCTACTACTACTTCTTCTTCGAATTAGAAGAAGAAGAAGAAGAAGAAGAAGAAGAAGAAGGAGGGGCGAGGGCAGGGCAAACGAGGGGGCGGAGGAGCGCCCCCGACTGCTCCGGGCTCTGGCGCCGCCGCAGGTCTTGCCTCAGGTCGGGCATGTCCTCCTACGGGCGGATGTTGGACGAAACTTACAAGTAGTCCAAAAACCTGATCGGACAAGAACGGGAAGCGCCGCTTTAGTCGAATGGGTGTTTTGGGCGAAGGAGACAAGGAAGGCGAGGGCAACGAGGAGTCGATGACGAGGACGACGTGGCGAACGTGAGGATAGCGAGGAGGAGCATAAGAACAACGAGGAGGAAGAGACGAAACGTACAAGTAGTCCAAAAATCCGCCAGCCCCCTTGTGGGGCCACCAGGCTATAGGACGAAGGTTTGCTGCTCCCTGCACCAGTTCCAGTTTCCAGTTTCCACTGTAACAGTTCTGCTTCTCGTTCCTTGTTGATGGACCGCGCGAGGGGGGGAGCCGAGAAGGAACCCAGCTACCACGCCCGAATCGGGTGCTCTGAATTCCTGTGGGGGGCGTGGGACACATAGAAATGACATGAAATTCGCGCCCCCGAGGCCATAAACCCTCGTAAATTACACTTTTGGCGTCCCCGAGGCCATAGACCCTCGTGAATTACACAAGATTCGCGTCCCCGACGCCATAAACCCTTGCAAAATACTCCACATCCGTGTCCCCGAAGCCATAAAGCCTCGTAAATTACACAATGCCTGCGTCCCCGAGGCCGCAAACGCATGTAAATCATGCAACATTCGCGTCCCCGAAGCCATAACCCTTTGTAAATCATACAAATGTTCGCGCCTCCGAAGCCATACATCTGCGTAAACAACGCAATATCTGCGACCCCGAAGCCATAAACCCTTGTAAATTACGCGCTAATCGCGTGTCCGAAGCCATACACCCTCGCAAGTTCCGCTATATTCGCATATCCGAAGCCATAAACCTGCGTAAAGTACGCTATTTGCGAGCCCGAAGCCATAAACCCTCGTATATTACGCGTTATTCGCGTATCCGAAGCCATACATCCTTTACATACAACACCGCATTCAACAATATCATCAAGATCTCAATTTGTCTTGCCGGTTATTCATCGTCTTCGCATGAAGTCCCGACGCTGCTTCACGGCGGCGCCAAGGACTCATGATTTCGCTCTTGCATTGCCCATTACCCGAGAGAGGGGGCCGGCGGCAAGGGGCGAAGCCCTTGATAAGCAAAAAAAACTACTCAAAAATACTAAAAACAAAATCGCCCCCAGACTATTGTTTGACTATTTTTGAATATTCCCCCTGTAGAGGGACAGGCCCGGCATATATCTTGCCTCTGCCGCCCCGCCCCCGCAGCGGCCCCTCTGGCTGCTCCCGGAGGGCCAGCTCAGGGAGAGATCGCCTGCGAAAGGGGGCAGCCTGAGAAAGCCCACGATTAGCGAGGGACTGGTTTAGGCGGCGCGCCCGGGGGGAAGTGAGAAGGGGCGGGCCTTCTCAGAACGCTCGGAAGTCCCCCAGCCTTCTGAGAAGTTTTCTGAGCCTTCCCAGAATACAGAAACAACTTCTCAGAAGGCGCGAGGGCTTCTGAGAAGCCACACCATCTTCAGAGACGGCCTTCTAATTCTCACTTCTCCCCCTCGCTCGCCGCCGATGGTTGCTCCCCAAAACGACCCAAGCCCTTCCGAAACCCTTGGGAAGGTTTCTGTCGTTGTGGGGGGACACCAGTCCCTAGCGAACCGTCGACTTACAAGGGTAGACCAGCTCCGAGGGGGGGGAACATCGAGCTGGAGTCGGCGATACGTCGCCGATAGATCCGCGAGAGGCCGCGATAGCGAACCCGCACGTCCCTGGGCCAGATGGGCTATCGGGCCCCTATCGGCAGTGAGCTGGCGATTGGGGGTCGATGCGTCCCCCTGGAGTCGATCCCCGCCTTGACGTTGCCCTCTGGCTTTCGGGCCATAGCTCGCCTCTCCAGAAGCCGTTCGGGACGAGTCGGGCACCCTGGGAACGCCCTCGGCGAGGCGCAGCTGCTGGAGAGCGTCACGAGGCTGCAAAGCCGCAAGAGCCGACGAAAACGTCCGAAAACCTCGACATGCGTCGGAAGAGAGAGAGAGAGAGAGAGACGACGACGACGACGAAAACGTCCCCGCTAACGATGCCCCTGACATTTGCTCATACGCGGCCCCAGTGTGTTTAGACCGCCACGGGCGACTCCCTGGCCTGTTGAGGCCAGGCCTCGACCACCTCTGGGGGCTGACTGTGAGCATCCCCAGACCCTTGCCAGACGCCCTCCTCGGACTCCGCCCGCGCCGACCCCGTCGCCGACGCCACCGGGGATGGAGGAGGGAGGAGGAACGAGGAAGGAGAGAGGGAAGAGAGAGGGAGGAGAGAGAGAGAGAGAGAGGAGAGAGAGAGAGGAGGGAGGGAGGGAGGGAGGGAGGGAGGGAGGACGGACGGAGCGAGGAAGCGCGGACCCTCAAACCTGACGCTGCAACAACAAAAACAAGATCGCAACAAGTGACCGCCGTAGCTCCAGACTTGGGTCGGACATGTCCTATTACAGGGGGGCTTTGGACCCCCCCAACAAAAAATCAAAATAAATAAAAACAAACAAAAAAACTATGTTTCTACAATTTTTGAATATTCCTCCTGTAGAAGGGCAGGCCCGAATTAGCTCCAAACCTTATCTTTCCGCGTCATTTTTCGAGCCGGAACGACCTGAGAGGGCCCAAGGTCCGGACACTAGGCGAAAAAATGCAACCAGGATCTCAGGGACCGCGACGGGTCATTGGCGGCGCGCGCAAGAGGGTAGGGGGAGGGGGGGAGGCTTCTTAAAAGGAGGCTGCGTCTTAGAAGGCGCTGGGCCTTACATCGGGGATGGGCAGAACCCCTTTTAGTAAAACGAGGTATGGTGAAAACGACCTCGGGCCCAAAGCTGACGGGCGCAAGCCTGGAAAATGACGGCCGCGGCGCCCTCTCGAGAACCGAAGACGGACAGTTCATTAATTGACGTGTCAGGGTGGGGGTTATGTCCATCCCCGATTACATCTATAGATAAGGCCCGCGCCTACTAAGCAGGGGTGCTTTTAAGAAGCCCTCCCCCCTCCCCCATACCCCCTTCTGCGCGTGGCCGAGGCGAGGCCGCACTGCCTTTCGCAGAACGAAGCCAAGACGAGGATGGCATCGGGTGAGGATACACCAAGAATCTCTGAGATCCGGCGGCTCTGGAGGATGTCTCGGGCGCCGCGGCCTTCTCAAGGCGTCCAGGAACGCTCTGAGAGGGCGCTCCAGAACGTTCTGGGGCGGATTGGTTCATCCTCGCAAGTGGCCTGGATCCGCCGCGGAGGATTTACCATGCATTTCCCATCGGTCGGAAGAAGTAGGTAGAAACATGAGGTCGAAAGGCGTTGGAAAAAGATTGGGTGTCGGCCCGCCCCCTAAAGAGGACGGAAAAGGTGAAGCCACTCGATCATTGAAGTAGGAAGGCGCTTAAAGTAGATTGGAATCTGAGACTCCCAAAATACCTACTTTCAACGACCGATGGGTAGGCACTCTTTGCGAGCAGTGGAGCGCGCTCGGTGAAAAGGGGGGGAGGTGTGTGTTGGACTCTCCCCCAACTCACTGGAATACAATAGAGATTCGACCACAAGAGAAACCTTCCACAAGAAACCCAGCTCTGGAACCCCAGGACGTCCACCAATCTTTGGCGTGGGGACGTGTCACGCCCTCCATGGCAAAACCATCGAAACCCGAGAAATCCAGGGCACCCTGGCGGCAAGCACAACCCACCCCCACCCCCAGCAAGGACCCCCACCTCCGACCTGGTGATCCAGAGGGCCCTGGCTGGGGGTGGAGGTGGTTTGGGGGGGTTCCTGGGAGCCGACAAACAGCCCCCACCCCCAGCCAGGACTCCCTGGATCACCAGGCCGGGAGTGGGGGTCCTTGCTGGGGGTGGGCGTGGGCTGTGCTGTCCTCAACCCTGGAGGCAAGCATAGAGGGCAGAAAATCCACCCCGATAATAACCACCCCGACACGCGAAGCCGTTTAGCCAACGCGCCCAGAGAAGGAATCGAACAGGGCAGGGCTGCCCAATGAACGCCCAGGGCCGTTTATAGTAAGCGCCACTTGTCCGGTCCAGGCGGTTCTTCCCCCTTGAGAGCAGGGTGTGCTTCTTTGCGTGGGCTCCCGCTGCAACTCTCGGACCCCCCCCCCCCCGCGCTTCGCCGCGCCCGCGCTCCCCCGAGCAGGGCGCCCGCCCCATCCTTCGGCGGGC